AAATCAGATTCGTATGGGAATATAGGAAACGAGTTTACTTTTTGGACAATAGGAAAGCACACGAGTCACCATGAGTGACACTAGAGGGCGCTCACGTCAGTAATGCCTCTACATGACGGACGCTCTACAGCCTGTTTAATGGACACTGGTGATGAGAGTGCCCTCTGGCGGTAGGCATATTGCTAACACACTGGACCCGTTTCTTAACGATACTATTTCTACCCAGATGTCAATGTACTCCACAGTGGCTTTCATGAAACCTACTGTGTTGGGGTGAAACACTGCAAAGAACTGGGTATGCTCATTTTTTAAAATATATATACACAACTATGGAATGGGAATTTAGCAAGTGAAAACGTTACATGGGTTCATTTTCTGATCTTACTACCAACATTTCTGAGCATCATTATATAATATAAATATTTGTATTCTAATGAAAATTATATAAATCATCATATCAAAATCTGAACACATGTCCCCAAATGAACAGTTTAGTCAAAAGGAGGAGTTTGTGCAAAACGTTTGTCAAGCCACATGTAAGAAATAACTATAATGCACAGTATCAAAAGCGTATACAAAACAGATAATGAAATAAATCACAAAGATTAAACTCCCAAAAAGTTTTCATTAATATAATCTTTAATTAATGGGATAATGCATCATTTTACAGCAAGCTTTTTTAAGTGTCATTTTTAACATGTATTCTCCTGAACAAACTAAAGCATCAGTTTAATTTGTTCTTATACCTAAGTACCAAAGCGCTTACTTACAAGCATCAATATAAAACGTTCAGCGGATTTTGACAATAGCTTCTGAAGAGTCAGAAGACCAGTACGCCTTAAATCTTCACAATTATCTCAGAAAACACAACTTTAACAGCTTGGCTACATATCCTCCTAATTGTTACAAAATCGGAAAACTTTTTAAAATAGATGCTGCAAGATACAGGTTGCGCCTTCATACGATGCTAAGAAGTAATTATGTTAATCATTGCTTAATTTATACTTTTTAGAGCAATACAATTCAACAGGTTTCTAAGAGCAGCTCCTTGATTTTTGTTGTGAATTACATTGATAACATATGGCAGTTTTTAGTACATTATGGCGGGTATCTCATGGAATTTGGTTTTGTGTCCTTTGAACATCTCAAAAGACTGTCAGTAAGTCCCAGTTTAGGTACAGATTAGCCTAACTTCAGCTCATGGAGTCTTTCTTGTAAAGGACTCCCCAATGCAAGATTCTCAGTGTTTTGTTTTGTGTGCCATTTTGTGCTTATCCATGCAAGGTAGACTTTTAGAAGCTGGATTTCAGAGTGTATTCGATCTGACTGTGTGAATGTGCAAAGCATCACAGCGGAAACCCTGTGATCTAGACATCACAAGTGCTGTCCCAAGACGGAATGCTTTTTCCGCCAATGATGGCTGTAATATTTTTCGAAGATGCAGCAAAAGGAAGAGTCAGACAGAAAAACGAAAAGAATAATATCGATATCCTGCAAGGTTTTTCAGCGCTTTACTTGAGTGCATGTGGGCGGTGCTGCAGTTAGCACAAACACGCTAAAATAAAGGCTTGTTTAAACAAAACAAACTTGATCCAAACAAAGGAACAATTCCGTGTCATAGAAATGTAATTATTTGCAGCCGTTTGAAGTTGTGTTTATAATCCCATTTACAGTTTAATCTACCATTCTATTAATACCAGCTGTCCGAAATAACATCGGGGCTTGTTTTATTAAAGAAAAATGTTCCTGTGGGCAAACTTGCTAGAAAAGAACATGTGGACTGATCATGTTTGGAGATCACAGGATGGAATGATAAACATTTTTACTGCTCAGCATTTGCTAAGGATCAACATTTTTGGGTCAATTGAAATCTGGGATGTCTGGAGGTTTTTCCCACGATGCAACTCTTTTGCACGTTGTTTTCTTCACGGCAACACGCCACGCAAGTGTTTTGCAGAACTCCGTCTGGTGTACACGGACAGGGGCTATCGCAGAACGAGCACAGCTCAGAGCTCTAGACTACTGCCTGCTCCAGGGGAGGGGGAAGGACAAGGTCTTCTGCCACGCACCCCCACTGCTGGTTAAAGGGCAGAGGCAGGTGTAGCTGGGGCCAAGTCCAATTGCAACATCTCAGCGTAAAGCCATTATTGATACTCCTACCAATACTGAGTAGCCAGTAAGGGCTCATCACCTGTCTTCTAGAGAACATGCCTGCAGACACTAAAGCCTAGCCTAGCCCTTTGCCAGAAACCCATACAACAGCGGCCCTAGCTTCCAGAGTGTACAGAATTACAGAAGTGGAACATCCACTTCGTGTCACTGTTTAACAGGGAAGACACGCCGAGTGCAAACTGTTTTATAATCACTTTTTTGCATGTCCTTCAAATGTGGTGCTTGTTATTTCCAATCAGTTTTTGTTTGGTTTTTTGCCTTTGAGGTCCACAGCCACCTCATTAACAGTGATCTTGTTATATACAGGGTTAGTCAGAATGTTGTCGACAAGTATAAATGCCAATTATTTTACTAAAGTTTTGTTTTCTCCTCCACAGATGGAGGATTGGAAGATAACGGCTAGAAACTTAGATATTTATGCTTTCATTTGAAACCTTTTTTGTCACAGTAACCCATGTAATTAATTTGTAATAAACTGTCAAAGGTGTCAACAGTTGACTGTGCCTGTATTATACTGTATTACCTCTACAACTAGTTTTACAGTTTACACTGTACAGGACAGCATACCACATAGTATGAAACCCTTCTTTCGTGTACAGATCGTTTCCCTCGCAAAAGCTGAGCAGTGTAAAGAAAAGGCCAGAAAACATTGGATAAATGTAAATACTGTATATATGCACATATGAATGCACATGTATTATATATACAGACTTATTTACATAAATTGTGTGACCTCTCTTTAGTACAAATATGGGAACTATCCAGATGGCAAGATGTTTTCAGTCTTGTTGAAGGTGTCTAGTAGTTGATTTTTAGTTTGAAGCACAATTGAGGTTCGAGTTCTTCTCAAGCCTAAGAGACTGTCGGTCCCTGAGCTTCTTGTGGTTTACGTCAAAAAGCTCAAGTGAAAGAGGCGCTGGAGTCCTCTCTTCACGTCTGGGGGAGAAGGGATCAAGGAGGGTGAGGGACCTCCTTGCTGTAAAACACAATCGAGGCCGGGAAGGAGCAGCGTCTTGCCTCGGATCCACATGGTCTCCTCTCCCTCGTCAGCAGACCTGGTGAGGACGGCTATATGCGGCTCTTTTAGAAACTCGTCCTCCGATATTCTGGAGGTGTGGAGGGCTGCGTCTGTGACACTGAGGAGACCTCAACAATCATAATCTGTAATCTGTACATCTCTTCCATTAGAAAAATGCATTATTCTAAAATCGCAGGGGGGGAGGTCACCAGATATGTGTTCAAGGGCTATATGTGACTAGCTGGCCACATCTAGTAAGCGCAAGGGTGTACTGAACGTTTCTGAAATGCTGAGCAATTTCACACAGACAAAAGCACGTGAATGTTAACAAGAATTTACTGTATGATCATTAAAAAAAAGTGTGTTAGTCGGGGAAAAAAAAACATCTAAACAGGTACGGCAACATCTTAGTGTTTTTACGAAACATCCCATTAAATGAGATCACAATGAGGAAATGTAGGAAAACTAAAACAGAAGTGCTCAACTCTGTACAAATGACAGCGCAAAACGAAAACTGCCAAGTAACGCAACACAAATGTAGCAATAACATCCTTTTAAGCTGTTATAGCTTTATCATACATGTAATAAAATGTTATGAGACACTTCAGATGCTTTTCAGAAGCACTGGAAATGCCAGTAACAAGAAAAATAAAAAGTTTGGCTCTCTAAAACATAACCTGTATGCTGCCCCCTTCTGGCAGCAATGGATTGTAGCTTAAGTGTGGTACACAGAACAAGAGAACAAAAAGTTTCAAGCTGAAATTTTAGAACAGATGATTTACAATGTCCTGTTGTCCCTGCAGGGAGAACAGAAAGTGTTCAAATGAAAAAGAACTGAAAACAAAAGTTCTTTAGTTAAGAGCTTGCATTGTATAGCTTAAAGTCCAGATTGGAAAGGCTGACAGATCCTTCCCTTAAATGATTCATCCGTTACCCTCCCTTTCAGGCAACCTCAGAGCTCGATCAGAACTTGTCAAAAATCCTCAGATACTGAGAACTCGGGAAAACAGGAAAAAAAAAAAGACCGCAAGCTTGTTCTGAAGAGTAAACCAGGTCGGGCCTAGCAGAGACACGCACAGCAATCGGGCTGATGATCCAAGCACAAGGGTTCTAGTTGCATAGAGTGATGGGACAGGAGTAACCACTTGCTCAATACATTAAAAAGCACAGTTCTGATTCAGGCTTGCAGGAGACAAAAAAAAACCAAAAAAACCCCCCACCACTTTTTTTTTTCCCCCGTAACAATCGAATCCTAAACATAAGCGCGGCGTTTTGTTGGTTTTGTTTTCAGTTCGCAGACTGCTTCCCCCTTCCTTCCCCCTTCCCACAGCATCGGAGGAACTCGAAGGAGGTAAGAAAATGTACGCCGCCCCTCAGTTCCCTCAGTTCGTTATCCGCTCAGGTCTTGAACAAACTCCGTGAGAAAGCGAAGGATTGTCTTCTGCGCCACGGGGCCTCGGAGCCGAGTCAGGAGGATCGCAGGATTGCCGCGGTATATAAGTGCACCGCTTTCTCAGGCTGGCGCAGAAAAATAGAGAGACCACTTCAACAAAAGCGCTGGAAGCTAAAGCCTATTGCACGTGTCAAACAAAGAATACAAAAAAAAAAAGGAATACAAAGATATTACACTCATGGATACATAAACATATAACTCTACTTTGCATACATTTAACAAAAATATAGTAAAACAAAAACTGATTGCAGTCAACCCTGTCTTAAAGACCAATCTTTTTATAGACCAATTTATATATAGATTGAAAACGAAAGGAAAATGGTCTATTTTGATTGTAAATGAATACATTGTCATCTCTCTCTTTTTTTTTTTAGTCCTCCTGCTAAATTTTAAGACCACTTTTACCAGACGGGTCACACGAGACAGACTTAACTGTGTCATTAAGATTATGCCACACAAAAAAAAAAAAAGTGCCGTGAAAAGCTTTTCAAACAAACGTAGAAACAACAAAAAAAAAAATGGAAGCATCTGAAGCCAATTTTGCTGCATAGCTGGATTCTATTTAAAGCGATTCTTTGAAGGAGAAGTGAGCGGGGAGTTAAGCTGCTTGTACATTTTTTTTTGTTGTTTTTTCTCTTTTTTTTCAAGTAATTTGAACTTGGGAGAGGGGGGGAGGAAATGGGCGCAGTCTACAGGCAAGTCATCCCCGTCTCCGTGGGAACGGTTGTCGTGGCCGTGCCTCCGTCCACCAGGTAGACCGCGGTGCTGGATTTGGAGCGGCCGGCTTCCTGGTGGTGGCTGTTGTTGTTCACCTCGCTGTCCACGGGCTCCGTGGAGATCACCCAGGTGGATGGGCGCCACCTCTTCAGCGAGTACGGGGTTTTCACCCGCTTCTTGATCTTCTCCCCAGAGCCCCCTTTGCAATCTCTCGCGTTTTCACCTGGAGAGACAGAAAGGACAGGGGAGTCCAACGGCCGCCTGATTTTTTTGGGGCAGAGAATGCAAAAACAGCAATTACAAGAACATCATCTGCCCATCCGTTTTCGAACTGCTTTCTCCGATTCAGGGTTGTAGGGAAGCAATGGGCGTCAGGCAGGGGTACGACCTGGACGGGACGCCAGTCCATCACAGGACAGACACACACTCACACCAGGACCCCTTTTCCCAAAGGCCAGTTAACCCACCAGCATGTCCTTGGGCTGTGGGAGGAAACCCACGGAAAACATACATGCAGACTCCACACAGACAGACAGCACTCCAGAAATTGAACTGAGGGCCTCAGCAATGCCAACCACTGTGCCCCGATGCAATGTAGTACAGATAAAAATGAGTCATATTATTACAAAAAAAAGGAGAAAACGCACAGGTTTCCGAACAAAACACACTTTCTCAATAAGTACAGTAAAAAAAAACCACACATCTGGGTGTAGCTACTTTTTCAGAGGTAAAGTTCAATCTATATCCTGCAGCTCGGCAGTAATAATCACAAACGCACAGTGGCCCCTAGCATTTATTCTGTGAAACCTACCCTATTATTTCCAACAGAAAGTGACCTTTTGTATTGCAGATTTTTCCTACCAAAATCAATGTTAATTTGGGCTTCAGCTTAACAGACCCTTAGCACAAACTGTCTGATGTCCTTTAAGTAAATATACTTCTGCAACAACGCTTTTTTTTTCAAAAGCTTTGGTTAATGTAAGACACGAGCTCTTAAAACAAGACACCATTTTGCCTCCTTCTCCTTCCAAATGTCTCTTTCTGTAGGTTACCTTAATGAAATTAGGCCCTAATTGTGGGGAAAGTATTACTGAAAGAGGGCCACCCGTATAAAGCTCCTCTGTGATGAATATAAGTGTGACAATGTTCGATGATGCCTTGTTTTTGAATCAAACAAGTCAATGCAAGCTGTACCGTTATCTAAATTTCTTCTGATCATGTGCTTCACACATGTCTTTTTCCCTGCTTGTTCCATGTGGCCTCCACCAGGAGAAACAGCCCACGGGGTGCTGCTCATCTGCTATCAGCCTCTGATCAGAGCACAGGGACAGCTGCACTGGATGCAGTCTGTGTGCACTGGTCATCTCCTACTGGCACGCAACTGGGCACAGGCAGGGGTGGGGTGACTCCGGCGAGTCCTGATTGTCGCCAACAACACAAAGGATTTGTAAACATTTCTGATCTGGTAGGAGGTAAGAACCCGTTTCCCAGTGGCATGATGTGCGTGGCCAGCAGTCTATTGCTTTCTTGGAAATCAGTGCCTTTTTAAAGTCTAATTACAGCAGACGGTTTTCCGGATATTTATCACAGCGATGGAATTTCCTTCCCCTAGAATAGAGAGACGTCCCTCTGAAGTATCTGGCTGTGAATCAAGGCATTTCGAACTGCTTCAGCTCTCTCTTGTTTTGCAGGTCCTATTACCCATGTCGAGAATACAAAGGCTCAGCACTAATCGCCTATTAGTCACTCAGGGGCAGTTGGAACAGGTATTGCACGGAACAGCGCCAATTACTTTCTCAGCAAACGCAGGGGGATTCTGATCTATACAGCAACTGTAAATGTTCGAGTCCAATTTACCAGCTCAAAAGGAAAAACTAGACATATTTTAGGGAATTACGAGCTGTTCAGATTTGTCTGCTAATGCCCGATAATGGAAATCTCCTGGATTTCATAGTAAGCACCCACACACTGTGGTTGTACAGGGAGGAAAACAATAACCTCAAGAAAAGCAAAACGAGGAGAACTTGGTTTATCTGGCCTGTTCCCCAAGGATCCAATCAATCCCTCTTATTTGCTGAATTCAAGGACTGTCCCTCTGTACTAGAGAGAGAGTGTTCAGTTAATATTGGGATCGGGAGGCCCACACATAGCTGCTGGTTTTTGTTCCAGGCGAGATTCCAGTCACATAACTACCTGTCATGGACGTAATAATAGGATTTCTTAGAACTGCTTGTGTTCAGCTGTTAAACATGTTGGAAGTCGCCTTTTAGCTACTGCACTTCACGCATAAAAGAAAATCCCAAAAGTTTGGAGCAGGAAATAAAACTACTAACAAATATAACAATCAAGTTGTTAATTCAATTAGGTAATTGTATTGCAAGCTGGACTGAAAATTAGCAGGATGCTTGGTCCTTCAGGAATAGGAACTCCTGCTTTATGGCATGTTGAGGTGCCATAAAGTACTAGGCCGCAAGTATTGAAGTCTCCTCTATTTTCTATCATCTGGTTTGACACCTCTTTTGTAACCTGTGGTCTTCCATTGAATTTGAAATAGCTGTTTAGAAGGTAATACGGTTAACTTGATTCTCTCTTTCAGCTTCTGTCTTCAAAGGGAATATCTGTTAGTGCTCTTTCTTTTGACCATCATTTCCTCACAATTAGTTCAGGTGGGTAGGCTGCAAAGGAACCTGTGTTTTCTTTCTTCTCTTTTCAGCATGGAATAAACCTATTACTTGTTCCTCATTTCCTCACAATTTACCAGTAGTTCCTGCATCTCTATGAACTCTGCCTCTTTGGGCAGCTTTGGTCCAGATGCCAATCAGAGGATGATTTTCTGGAGCCATCTACAGAAAACCCACAGTATGCCACAGGACGTTCATACCACTCTCCTTCAGACCTGTTCAATTAATGCAAGCACACCAGGGAACAGTATTCTCCCAGCCTCCTAACACAGAACAGAAATGAGAGCCAGCACCTAAAACTAAAAGCACTGAAGGGACCCTTTATAAAAGCTTTTCGCTCAAGAATTTTTTCTTGTTACAAAAAAATGAAAATGCGGGCATACACAAAAAATGTGGAAAAGAAAAACGTTTTTTTCCAATTGGGTAAATTAGTTGGGAATTATTTTTAATTCTATACATTTTTACACAGTTACAAAAATTAATAAAGAATCTGTCAAAGGGACTTTTTAGTCATTTTGAAGGACAAACAGTCATCATAGAGAATCGTTAGCTACATCTGTGATTCCCATTTTGAAAGGACTTTATAAATGCACCCCAGTGTGAGTACTTTGTGACACTGAACACGTTAAGGTGTGATGGGTCAAAAATGGACAGAATCAAATCTTTTCTGTCATTAGATTTTGGAGAAAACTGTAACACCATTTACATTTAAATCCATGCATAGCATAAATAAAACATCACTTTTAACACCTTACTTGCTTGTTCTGTTATTGTTTAGAATCCCAGTTAATTTCGGGAAGATAAACGTTTTTAAAGCAGATGCGTCGACGTTTTATTGAATAGACACAGCATAACTTAAATGTGCTGATTAAAATTAGTCAACATGTCTGATCAACAGGGAGGTCGTACTGTGAAAGCCACAGGTTGGCAGCCAGAAGCAATGCAAGCTGTAAATCTGCAGCACCTGCTTTGAACCATGCTGTCTGCGGGATTCTAGACCATTTCTCTTGTACAGCCCAGAGAAGCACGTGCCTGTTGAAAGGTCTCTTTGTCCTATATGCCACACATCATCCCTTCACAGCCCACAGATGTCCAATAGGTCTCCAGTCTGTCAAGCAAGGCGACCACGGTATTAACTGTCACGTTCTTGTCTTGCAAGACAGGCGTTGTTATGTGAGCAGCACAAGGATGGGGAGCAACTGAGGTCCCAGAACGTGGTTAATGAAGCACTGTGCAGTCAGGTCAGGCTGCCATCAATCACTACTAGACTGGGCCTACTAGATATTCCTGCCTAGGACTGACTTCCCTATTAATTAAATGTACACAACATCCATCCTTCCATTTTCTAACTGCTCCTTCTGATTCCGGGTTGCGGGGGGGAGTGGGGGGGGCGGTTGGGCGAAGCCTTTCCCAGCAAACAATGGGATCAAGGTGTTTTACAACCTGGACGGGACACCAGTCCATCGTAGGGCGCACACACTCCCACCAGGACCAGTTTCCCCAGAAGGCAGTTGACCTACCAGCATGTTTTTGGACTATGGAGGAAAGCAGAGCAGATACAGAGGAAACCCGGGGAGAACATACAGACTCTACACAAGTAGCACCCCAGATCTGCTCCTGAATCGAGGCCCCAGCGCAGAGAGGCTGCAATGCTAACCACTGGACCCCTGTGCCACCCTTGCCCACAACAACACACAGAAGTTTGTATGTCTGCCTCTGGAGGCTTTACTAACTGCAAGGGCAAAAACGTATTTATTCTGGTATACACAAAATTAAGAAGCAAAAGAGAGCTGGAAAACAGATCAAATCCCTTCATAGTGCGCACAGAACTTGCCAATCTGCTTCCAGAAAAGAGACCCCAGGTGGGAGGGAAGCGGTGACTTACTCTGCATGGAGGAGCAGTCCAAAGTGCTGGCCGCCGACAGGTCCAGCGAGTTCGGCCTCTCGGCTCGTCGGGCCTTGGGCTGCCGTAGCTGCGTCTCTGCCCCCTTCTCGATGGCGGGAATGGGCTGCTCCTCCGCCGGACAGGGGTTGCCGCCGCCGCCGCCGATGCTGCTGCTGCTGCTGTTGTTGTTGTTGTTGGAGTTTGTGCGGCCGGCGTCCAGAGAGCGGTGGTCCCTCCTGTCGACCAGCCTCTCCATCAGCCGCTCCTCCCGGCCGGCGGGCTGCTCTCGCCTCAGCAGGGGCTCGTGCTCGTCAGGGCTGGAGTTGATGTTGATCCGGCTGTCCTCCCCGCTCAGCTGGGACTGCAGGAGGGCGGGGCCGTTGGTCGCCTGGGCCCCGGGCAGAGAGCCGTTGGCGTACGGCATCTGCACCACGGAGGGAGCGCCGGCGTGGCCGTTGGCCACCACCGCTCGGCCCTGGCCGTTGTTGGTCACTGTCACCACGTGGGGCTCGGCCGTGTTGATGGTGTTGAGTTTGGCCACTCCGGTCTCCACCTGCTTCAGGTTGGACTTGTGCTTGCTGCCGAACTTCAGTCGGGACTCTTTGTTGGTGGGGTTTTTGGTGTTCAACGGCAAGCTGGTGGGCCTCTTGGGCAGATTCTGCTGCTTGGGGAGAGGGAACATGGGCGGCACGTCTCCGGCGGCCGAGGACGAGCCGCTGGCTTGGCCGAAATCGGGCTGGCCCGTGACTTCGGCCGCCAGCTTGATGAGAGGGTACAGCAGGCTGGAGCTGCTGGTGCTGAGGGGGTCCGGGCCGCTGAACTGCTTCATGGAGTGCTCCATCAGGTTCTCGTCGGAGCTCTCCTTCAGGTTCTTGTCCACCTCCTTGGGGTCCAGCTTGGTGGTCTCCAGGTCCTCCTCTGTCAGCTGCAGGCAGACAGGAGTGGGCCCCGCCGGCTGCAGCAGCGCCGCGTCCTCGGGGTAGGCCGACTCGGAGATGGTGGTCATGACGGTGCTGGGCGTGAGGCCGGCGGTGGTGGTGGTGGTGGCGGCGGAGAGGCTGGTGAGGCTGGTCTCCGGGCTGGGCAGCCGCGCCTGGGCCTGCTGCCGCTCGTAGTTGATGGAATTGCGGTTCTTCTCCCCACTGCCGCCCCCCACCCCCGTCACGGACGGCGTGCCCGAGGTCGAGAGCTCGCTGGAGATGTTCTTAACGATGCCCTCGTGGTCCTCGATGTAAGAGGACGAGGAGTAGTCTGGGTAGGGCCCGATCTTTGGCACCCGCCGGCTGTGTGAAAGGTTCCTAAAGAATGCAGGAAAAAGGGACGTGATCAAATCCTCCTATTATCCTAACATCCTTACAACCAAACAGACCACACTGAGATAAAACAACTTGGAGTAAAGCCAAGTTTAACGTTACATCATTTTTACGATACAAACTGAAACAATGGCTTTCTGGTAGAAGTAGGGCATTTTGTGGGGGGAAAGATGTAAATAAAAGCAAAGTAACTGAGTTTTGCAATTCCTCAAAGACTCAGTATAGCACTAAGCAGCTTCAAGGGGAACTGCAGTCCCAATTTTACAGACCGGTTCTTAAATCTCAGCAACGTAGTAATGTATAGAAAAAACGTCCAAATTTAAAATTATGCACGAAATCGTAAACTTTGTGAAAGTCCCGTAAGTTGACACATCGCTACAAACCCCTGGTCTTGTCAAAGGTGAGTGCAAGAGTTTGCAAGAATTGTTACGTCGTGTGGCCCTTCCTGCTCACTAGTCACTGTAGTGACCAATGTCATGTGACGTACAAGTGAATTATTTACAGGTTGTGCAGCAGGTACTTAACCACATTAAGTTTCTATCTTGATCTGCACGCAAAGTTTACAAGTAAGTTCCATTTATCGGCAAAACCGTCTTGAAGCCAAGAGCAATATTTCCATTGGATTAAAAGAGATGTATTCACAAGTCTGCTTGTTTACCAATGTAATAGGGTCACAATACATCACCAGACGTTTTGTTGCCTCATTCTGAATTGCAGAACATGGCGCTGCGCATACCTGGAAATAGTATCTATTTTGTGATATATATTGGAGGTTTTATGAGTTACTATGTACATTTTACTTCTGTTGTGCTTTGAAGTGCCCTCATCCATGCTGATTCTTTCTAAACCCAAAATACAAATAGTGTTGCAGTTCCTCTTTAAATTTCCACTTTACCTTTACACACTGGGACATCAGTCAAATGTGAAAGTTAATGCTAATAATGATGATTATTAAAAATAAAAATGATAAGTTTTTCCCTCTGAAATCTGTAATTTCCAAAATTACTTTATACTTTCAATTACATCTGCTTTTGCACCTTTCACAGTGTCTGCTGAGTTGTTCCACTCTCATGTGTCACAAGTGGCTAAACCTGATGATCACGTAAATTCATTTGAAAACGACGATAATAGTTCCTTTGTACGGCTTCACTTCCTCAGTATCTCCATAAGCAGTATTTTTTTATCCACCGATAATAATTACCGTAACCCAGCCCATAAAATAGAGGAGTGACATTCAAACTGTTCCATTGCACAACCATTGCAATATTAAGTTACATGAGTGTTTCAACACACTGGGTTCTGTGTGCAAGGTAACACTGATACAAGAAGCATGACACTGGAACATTGGGAATGCTGCCTGATTGATTCCTGATTTTGTCAAAAAAAAAACGATTTTGCTGCTGCTGAAATGGTGAAAATACAGTTTTGTGTAGGTGCAACCTAACAGATAAAAGCAGCAAACTGGATTATTTTTATCAAACTCATTTATGTAGCGCTCTTACAATGCGTTTCAAAATAGTCAGCATTCTTTTTAAATTGTGGATGGTTGAACTGCAAGCATGTGGCTATATAACAAGCTATATCAAACTACTGATTTCTTTACTTTTAAAAACTAATTTCTTGTGAACATCTGCAATGTATGCCAACATTAAACTAAACACTGGTGCTGTAACAACATAGTTTTCACATCCAGTTCATCAGTTGCTCACATTTATACTGAGAGACATTAAAAACACAAAAATGCTATTGGTTGCAATACTTGTTTATTGTGTTTTAGATGCCTTTTAGTATGTATATGATTTTATCTGAAGTTTCCAAAAAGTAAAGCTTTGAACATCTGAAATATCATATTTTTTGCTGTCGTGCTGGAAAACGCTGGCTGTGATGAGAATACAACATTATTATCATGTTGCTTAAATATTAAAATATTAGCTCTTAAAAATGTTAAGAAGCTCCCCTGTGTTGCTGACAGAAGGTAATGTCCTCTCTCAGCCACCAGGGGGCACCCACCTCTCGTTCTGCATGGCCGTGGACATGGGATTCACGGTGGGGCTGACGGACTTGTTCCTGTCCCAGATCATGATGAGCTCTGCCATTCTCTCCTCTGCGCACTGGGCTGTCAGCCTGGCCTCGGCGTCTTGGTCCCAGCAGTCCTCCATCGTCTCCTTCAAGGAACGCACCGCCTGGCGGATACCAACACCGGGATGCTCAGCGCACCGCGCACAGCCGGCTGACACTGACCACGGGGCTGGGGAACTCCCTCCCACATTAGATCAGAGGGTGCCCTGGGGGGTATTTTTTGGACGTGCCTCAAAACAGCTTTTAATCTAAAGTCACTGCATTTACGCTGGATCTTATAGATTCCTTTAGAGCTCGACGTTGTTTTTTTAAAACAACACCGCTCAGTGTATGGGGACATCACTCTTCCAATGCAAGCTCTAGTTCAGCTCTAGAAGAAAATGACCTAAGCCTGACAAGGCTCTAGGGGTTATTTGGTTTAATTTAACCTTCTTCCCTGAGCTCCTCAGTTCCGTGCCTCCTTACCAGGCTGTTTTCTTTCCAGGCTTCGGGGAACTTGGGCCTCTGCTTCTCCCTGGAAACCAGCACCTGCATGTCCTCAAAGGTGGGGTGGTTCCCAGCCTCAGCCTGGAATGCCATCTGGTACTCGGGCACCGTCTCTCCTGGAGGGAAGGAATGGTGCACGATGTGGCTCGCTTAAGACGCTGCTTGGCCGATTTCGGATTTTTAACAGCGCCTCCGGGAACAGGAAGAGCTGTTTGAAAGAACGATCGCGCCTGCCAGAAGAAGCTGGCAGGGGTGTCTGCACAAGCTCAGAACAAGACATTCTGCCAAATACTAATCCCAAAGAAACAGAATATTAGGCTGTTGCTATATGTAAATATTCCTTAAGCAGTCGTATTCTTTCAAGACTTCCTGACATCAAGACTTAAGTTCATTGTAGCCTATTAAAATGTGAAAGCCTTAGCTGTTATCTTCGATTTCTTTTTAGGAAAAAAGTAGCAAGAGCTACTGTAACAGATCCACTGGGATTGTAAATCATAGCTGAATTGAAGACAGAAAGCAGTTGCTTCTCTAAGTACAATAATACAGCATTATTTTTTCACTCTAATGGTTGTTTTGGATGACTAATTCTAGAACATGCCCTTACAGCGTATTCTTCTCTCACTGCATTCAATCAGCGTTCGTGATCAATTTTTCTTTTTAACGCGCCCAGCCTTCTAGAGCCTGTGTAGGATGCCTCTGTGTGATGCCTGAATGAATCCCATCACATACACTCTAACAAGGGGTCGTTCTAAAATCGGTCCCCCTCCAGCCTGAGCTCTGCGCGGTATACCCCACCTGGGAACAGGTCTGTGCATCTCATGAAGATCTCCCAGTAGATGAGCCCCAGGGCATACATGTCGACCTGCTTCAGGGCAGACTCGCAGTCTCGCAGGTTAACTGCTCCCTCCAGAACCTCTGGTGCCATGTAGCGAATGGTTCCCACCTGAAACAGATTGAAACCTCCATTACAATCAGTTTTAACTGGAATCCCTTATTCAACCTGGGGGACTAGTTTTAATTCACAGGGACGACCTAGCCCTTGAGCTCAAAGATCATGTCCCACTCATGATCTTTCCAAACCCTGCTCCATCCTACAGGACACGTGGTTCCTAAAATGAACCACACACTGCTTTAAATATAATTAAGAATAATGTTTCCTTTTTGAAACTGGGGACATTTCAGCCTTATCTGCCACTCGGATTAAATGTCAGTGCTGCTATAAACACTGTTCTCCTGTTTGCTCAAGATTTTTATATTCGTTGGAATTTTTTAGTTAAATGAATCCAGCTTGCAGTGTAAAAATCCTTGTAGTTGATAAGCGTAATGATTATGGAACTAAGCATTTCTCATTTCTGTCTATTGTTATTCTTTAATTAGATGAAGAACATTTTGTGCAGAGTTAACTGGTCTTAAAAATACATTTGTTGCAAAATGTCCTCACATCTTTCCCTTAATTTTCAGCCCATACCTTATCATTACCAATTGCTGAGACAACCTTCTAACACTTTGGAATCAGAATGGTGCAATGTGTTGGATGAAGGTGAACTGCTCGTCTTAACCTGCAACGTTAGTCTTCTTAATTAATATTTCCTGCCCATTTTAAGAGACATTTTAAAACACCAAAAAGGGAATATCTGGAAATCCCTTTAAGGCAGCTCAACTTATAAGCCAACATTGACTGAATATCCTGTATCCATATCTGGTTATTAACAAAGAGGTTTTTATTAAAACAATGTGGACAATAATTTTTAACCTTTCACGTAGTGGAGTCTGGATATATTGATAAGACGTCTTTGGGTTTGAACTGCATACAAACACATTTAAGTATAATTATGCAAGAAGTTCTCTTTTCCTGTACAAAGCAATATTATTTGTATTTCAAACACTTTTTTTAGCATACTTTAAAAAGCTGGCAAAAATTAAGACCTCGTCTTAATTAAGACCACGTTTTGGTGATCCAGTGACATTCTTCAGCAGTTTGTTATCATGATAAAGTGCTTGGCAAACCTTTACAGAATTTATAGTGTAGATTTATTGGGGAAACCAGACCATATTACTGTGACACACTTCACTTGTCACTATCGCTTGTCCCAGCAGTAGAAAAGCAGCTGCCCACCTCACTGATGGCGGCGTTGTCCTCCTCTCCTGGCCTCACCAGCCTGTTCCCGGTGAGCTTCATGGACAGCCCAAAGTCGCTGATGACACACGTGCCATCGTTCTTCACCAGCACGTTCCGACTGTTCAGGTCCCGGTGTGACACCGCGGGCTTGTAGTGATCTGTTTCGAGACCAGTAGGGGAATTACAAAAATAAGATAAGAGATATCACTTTATTGGTCATATTCAGTTTCTTACATTAGGAATTTGTCTTTTTTCGCATACCCCAACTTCCTTTCCATGAGACACACAGACAGGGAGAGAAGCTTGGGGCCAGAGCGCAGGGTCGGCTATTTATACGGTGCCCCTGGAGCAGTTGGGGTGAAGGGCCTTGCTCAGGGGGCCCAACGGAGTAGGATTCCTCTGCCGGCCGCGGGATTCGAACCAGCAACCTTCCAGCCACAGTCGCAGATCCATAGCCACAGAGCCACCGCCCCGCCCCAAAAGAGAAGCTGTCAGGAAGGGGGATTTGAACCCACGCAATACAATCTTGGTCCAGTCGCTGCTCTCACTTGGAAGTACACGCACTATGTTGAATGCAACTTGTCTGTGACAGACTGTCAGCTGGCAACCATCCGAGAGGGTGCAGCTGTTGGTGTTGCCAACTGTGATATCCGACAGCCCTCTCTCTACAAACATGCACTGCCTTCGGCAGGTGTGGGAGGTAGCCGGGAAATGACAATCGCACCATGCACCTGCAGGAGAGCCCCAGCTACCGAGAGAGACAGGCTGACTGTCAGGAACACGCCATTAAATGAAGCAGCAGAGGTGCTGACATCTTCAAATGGAAGGAAGATCCTAACTAGACAGAAGAAGCTTTTTGAGGAATAAATAAAGGAGAGCAGATGCACCTTTATTCTTTCCATTGAAAGACTGGAGTTGCTGTTCCAACATCCACTCTCTAACAATGTGAAAACACGTTCAAATTGAAAAATGAAACGTAACAAGAGGCAGCATGGCTCTGCAGAATATCACTCCCCATGCCCCTTATAGGAGTAGTCGAACACTCTTTTTGTTAATTTAGGGCGTGTGGTACACGAATAGAAAAGAAACAGACATGTCTAAGTATGTGATCCAAACTGCGGCAAACACGAAAGGGAAAATAGCTCAGCAACGTTAGTGTTTAATACTCTGTATGTTAATGGCGCATGCTGTGCGCAGCACTCTCTTCAGAGGAATAGAAATCGCTGCCCAGGCATTTTTCACGATGAGAAAGTATGACAGGGGAAGTATCTGTGCTGATGTGATGAATCTTAAGTCAAACGTCAGGCAGGAGCACCTGTAGTGGATAATGCTGTTTGATGTTACAATTAGAGCTGACTTAAAACTGATTAAAAAGAACAGGCTGAAATCTGTCGAAGGAAGAAAAAGAAAGGCTTGCAAAAGAAAGCCTTACAGGCTCATTTGAGCAAACTCACTGATAATGTGCATCTGAAAAATCAAGCAACAAATAAAGACCATTTCAAATCATTTTCCATTCATCCATCCCCTGTAATCTACTGATTCTAGTAACATTTGAATCAAATGCAAAAACAGTGTAAAGAAACAAAAGCAGATGTACAACAATGATCAACAATGTCTATATTAATGAAATATAAAAAGGGTGCTACAGGGTGACAGTTTGTAAGTTAACTGAATTCCACATTTAAAATAATAATTGAACTGCACTGTCCCAGAAACCTCTGAGAGTTCTCTACTGACATTCATCGATCAGCGCACAATCCACTGAGGCCTTTCGGCAGCAATGTTACTTGATTGTTGTTCGGCACAAAGATACATGATGATATTCTCTAAAACAACAGAGTTGACCGCATTATTTTGAAATGCAGCAATGCAAGATAGAAGAAAAGAGAGAAGCCTAACATCTTGGAATGGTTTTGAAAGGTTTGGTTGCATGTAACGACTTGTTCGGAGCTTCAAAAGCATTGTGCGAGTTTGTGCATCATATCTTCTTTAATGATTGCGTGCATGTTTCCACAATGTGTATGTGTGTGATATGTCATAAAGAATGGTATGCATTATTTTTACTCTTTCCCATCAATAGCAACGCCTTGTCTGATCTTTTTTTTTTGCAGTAGGAAACTGAGGGAAACAAGACAAACAAACAAGCTACAGGAGTTTTAGTGTACAACTATCTACAAGATCTCTGACGGCATATGTGGTTTAGTAGTGGTGTGCTGGAAACCAAATACACTGAGAATGTCACGTCGCAGGTTTGAAGCATTTTGTCCCTCAGGAATTTACCAAACAGACACTGACCAAGGGGTTTCCCAGATATAAATACAGGTAAATTGCAAACACATGCAAGTGAAACCAAAAAAAAAACAACAGATTTTAAAATGTCTCTTAATATAACGTGTTTCTTGGTACATTTCTTGGCATAGGTCTGTCATAAGGTTCTCCTACCACTAGAGGGCAGTCAATAAGATAAGATAAGATCACTTTATTGGCCATATACAATTTCTTGCATTAGGAATTCATCTTTTTCGCATACCCCAGCTTGCTCTCCATGAGACACACAGACAGGGAGAAAAGCTTGGGGTCAGAGCGCAGGGTCAGCCATTTAAACGGCACCCCTGGAGCAGTTGGGGTTGAGGGCCTTGCTCAGGGGCCCAACGGAGTAGGATTCCTCTGCCGGCTGTGGGATTTAAACCGGCCACCTTCCAGCCACAGATCCTTAGCCACAGTGGCAGCGCTCCGCCCTTTTTTAAAGATAAATATGCCGAGGAACCGTACTGTCGTCCTCTGTAAAGGCTCAACCCATCCTGTGCTGAGAAGGCTTGTGGTTTGATGACCAGAGAGCGAAATTCCTGGCTGCTGAACCATGGGAAAAACGGTCTTACAAACATGAATGTGAGTAGGGAAAAAGACATCCTGCAACAATCCGATAAACTGGTTCCATGAGGCCAAAAATAATAAAGAATATTTTCTGACAACTGGGTACCGGTTATGACTACATTGATTCTAATACGGTCTATTAATTATTTGTCTTATTGTGTAATACATTATCTCTAGCCAAACTATTTCCTAAACCAATCTTGTAATACCATAGCAAAAATGCAGTCCCTTAGGTAACAGACCATTTGCCATCAAAAATGCTATCCTATTTCCAGATGTCAGTGCGCTCTGTGTGGTTTATAATTACACTTCCTTAAATGGGAAATTCACTGCAAAACAAACTATCACAAGCTGCAATTCTGTGCCTATTACAGTAGGTCACGCCATGCTTCAGAACACTCTGCCATTGTCAAGATCGGTCATTCTGGTGCTGGACACTGTGGTCCTCTTGGACCTTACTTGTATTGATTGATATGGTCCAGACACATGCTCAACTTTTTAATTTGTGGACACATGGAAAAAGGTCAGTGTAGAAAAAAAAACATCTTAGGCTTTCTCATAATTACCTTAATATTAGGTCCAATTCTTAACTTTTTTATTTCTCTACATCTAGAGTTGAGATGAAGTTGCCCTAAATATACTGTATGTCTTGGTGAGGTATATAGATCTGTCCAGAAACATTAGAGGAGCGATAGTTATCATTTAAAAAATCAGTGGGAATACCTCAGATTTGGCCAAAACCTGATCCTACTGCACATGTATGCTTACTCCAGACTTTATTGGAACACGCTGAAGTCTTTACATAAGTCTAGATTATGCCAACGCCAATAACTGCATTCCTGAATGAAAACTGGTGTCGAAAAACCATGTTAATGGCCTGGATATAGAGAAAATCAAAAGGTTATAAAATGTGACATTTGTGCAGAGTACAATTAATTATTAATGAGCTGGTGTCGGCTTAATATCAGATTTCAACATTACTACAACATAAGCAAAAGGTATCTGGGTGAACCTTATGACTCTTTTACTGCTGTGTTCATTAGGGCAGATCAGGTGGGACTTGAGCCCTGGCTGTGAACGTAGGAAGAGTATCTCTGCGCCTGGATTGCAAACTAGACTGGGCTTCAGGCATGCTTTGAAAAGAAAGGACAGGATTGGTTTTTGAAATGGAAGAGTATACTTTATTGTTAAAACAAAACATTCGTAATGAAAAAAAGCGACCAAAAGAATACTTCAAAAAGGATATTCAAATATTCCACAATTACATTATTGTAAGGCAGTCAAAATCTTACGTAACCTTTTACAATCCTGTTAAGACAGGAAACGAATGCACAAAAAGGATAAAGGCTATTTTGCTCAGAAATATGATTAATTACTCCATTGTACAGCACATTAACTTTATTCTTCGTAACATAAGCAGGACTCATTTAAAATAAGAGAGTACTATTTTAAGAGGTCTTAAAAGGTTTGGTTTTTATGCTTTCTGACTTCCCGGTATACTGCACTTAAAGATATTTCACTTAGTCTGTCTCAAAGCTCAGTTTCGACTTGAGAACAAACTAAGACAGTGACATCAAGCAACAGTTTAAGCCACTTAAAGAATATGCAAAAGCAGCCTTCCTCCTACGTACAAGTCAGTCCAAAGAGTCCAGTTCTTTAAAAAGTAAGATTTCAGTGCAAGACACCACCTGTGTGGAAGGTGGCTAAAGTCACCTTTTTCTTCTTAGAGGGAGTCTACAAATTCATTTTAGCCCCAGTCTTGAGTTTTGGAGGAACACGACACAGTATCAACTATTTCAGGCTAAGGAAAAGCTCAAATAACTGGCAGAAATTCAATTTGCATGCATAGGTCCATCTACAATAAGGAAAATGATTGACAGAACATGATGAGTTATTGTCATTGATCCTCCAGACTTATTGCAATTACCATCATGTGAGAAAACGAGCTGATGGTGAATTACTGTTACTACTGTTCTCTATTTGGTCATGAGTGCATGGCCGTGAATCTACTGTTCCTGCAAAAATTCTGTGATATAAACCAATCTTCTCCTTCGAGAGAGCGAAGGGAAGGCAAGTTCTGAAAAAAAAAGCCTGCCTTTTGACTCCTATTGGCGTTGAGACTTTTCAGCCCCTGTGTTTCTACAATAAAAATTGATTGTGATGCATTTCTTACCATCACTGCATATAACAACATTTCTACAATTCTTTAAAACTAAAATGCAAATTACACAGTGTTGAAAACTTGGATAAAGCAAGTCTCCATTCTTATTTCATAGCCTTTGGATAAAGTATCTCCCGAGTTGAGTAAGCTCAAGCTGACATACAAAAGCACCGTAAAAACTACGTTGCAAGCAGGCAGCCTTGACCTAGATAAGCACACTTTCTCCCCCTCGTGGATTTTGCAAGCCTGACATCACTTGTGGAGACGTGGCTCACTGGGCCACACTGGGCCACACTGGGCCAATGTGCACTCTCATCTCGCGCGACAGCTCCGGACACAGGACCGCAGAGGCAGTGGAGTGCGATTCCATGAACCTGCAGGACGGCCTTCAACAGCTTCCTAAACTTTTTTTCCTTCCTGCAAAAGATCATCAAGTGTGTGCCTGTGGTCCAATCCATAAGTGTACAAGAGGAAATTATATCTGACAGTTTGCAAGTTCAGGCTGTCAACATACAGTCAATTGTTTCAAGAACGAAACGGGGTGAACTTATAAATCAGTGTGCCTCAAGTAGCAGAAGAAAATCTGAAATGCTACATAAGCATATTACAGTGCAAGACAGCAATATACACTTTGCATTTCCAATACATTTACACAGCAATGCAAGCTAAGGACCTTACTATGAAATAGAGCAAATGTACAAGTGCAATCAAGTGAATGTCATCCATTCAGAATACACATCTTAAATGATTTTCAAATATACAGGGAACTTTACATTTGCACGTGCCAAAGTAAAGATACCAAAATTGTGATGTACAGTAACTGACTTATGTGAGACACTTTCTGGGATAGCTTAGCTGACGAGCGTATAGTTTTTCCTAGTTGACCAGGCAGATGACAGCCTATGAAAAAGGAAGTCTCCATTTTTTATTTTGCTTCATCAGTTGTACCGAAAGGATCCGGCCCCAGAGGTCCTAGTGTTAAAGCAGAGAAGTCTGGAGGCAGAATGTACTGCCACTATTTAGCTGATGTTGGCTAGCCTTCCTTAAATCCTGAAATGTGCAGTAAACCTCAGATTTCTCCTTTTGGCTCTTGAGGCTGTTTGTGGCGTTTGCTTTGAAATAAAAATTGTGAGCTTTCACTCTCCTGACGGCTCCGTCATTCTCATGCCTTAAAATACAGTACAGTAAAGCACAGTAAATACTAGCAAACCTAATCAGGGACGACTAACAACATATCCGACATCTCAGATTTGAGTAAGGGTTTTCAAACTGCACTGCACGATTATCGGGTCTACCTTTACAGTCTTGCGTCAGGGTGTTCTGAAATTTTAAAGCATAAAACAGCTTCTTTTTACCATACTTTTCTCTCCAAAAGGCACTTTTTCCACAAACGTACCAGAGCCTTTTCCCTTTATCACGGACTGCCCTTCATATTTCCCTGCCAGTGATAGAAGCTTAGGGGTATAGACAGCTAACACAAACAAAAAAAAACAAACCTTAACCCTCAGAAACACTAGCAAGCCTTATGTTTTCAAAATAGGTGGGACTGAGCTGCTGTAGCTCCGCTTGGCTTCCTTTTAAACTGTCCAAATACTTGGCAACCGCACTGAAACAGCCAGTGGACTAAGCTGGCATTAGACAGAGAGGTAAGCTCTTTCTTAAATGTGTCGTGTTGGCCGTATATTCAAAGAGGACCTCGGATTACAGCCTTTCAAAGGGAAGGACACATTCCCTCACACAGATTCTGGGAGCTGACTGTGATTGTCTTGAGCGAATGCTGGCTGTTCATCGCTCCCCTGAATGAGAGCGATGGCTCAGTCTGGCCTCTGTCCAGGAGGCTGTGATGTGCTCAGAATGGGAAAGACGCCAGGAAAGCGCTCAGTAAAGGGCTTCGGCTTTCCCACTTTGAATTCTGGTCACTGTGCCTTCCCCTTGACACTCTGGGGGAGTCAGGGGAGTCTGCCTGAGTCACAAAACAAGGAAACTGAATAATATGCAAACATGTTTCAATTCCAACCACTGACGCCTCTGTGAACGCATTTCCAGAATGTGGTTAGTAACAGGAAAACAGGAAAATATTTCCACAATATTTTACGCTGGAGAAGGTTCCCCCTTTTACTCTTTTTCTACTTCGAAAATGAGCACAAATGAAGGGAATGTAAAAGTGTAGCATACATTTTTGGATATCGCGTAGCTGTCATTAAAAAGACCCTTCACTCACTGAAAGAAAAGTTTGAGACGTTCATTCAAATGGGTTTTAAGGAATTCTGTCTCTACTGTCTGTTCTACAGACAAAAAAGCAATACTTGCAAAACAATATCTCATCTTTTACGGAGTTTATAATATGACAATTACTATTAAGAAATAAAGCAAATGTTTTGAAAGTCAAGGATTTTTCCTTTAAAAAAAATATTTGACAATTACAGTAAGACCCCCATCCAACACAGTAAGGAAACTACCACCTTTTGGTGAAAATTAGGCATTAACACATCCCCAAAAAAATAGAAACAAAATGTATTTTGTGTTGTATTTACATAATCAGAAAGATGAATCAACATTAAATGCACCCACTATAATATCAAAAGCATCCAATGTGTTTCATTTCACTTACCTTACAGTACTACGAAAAACCACCCAACAAAAAAATGAAGTGTTCTTTGTGTTTTGTTTACTGAACTGCGTCTGGCCAGTTTTTGCTGCACTAAAACATTCTTGACTGAATGAACTTTTAACTACATATTCTAACATTTGCCTTTTTTATGACTTCCCCAGCTGTGCAGAAAATGTAAATGATGTATCAAAATAAAAACACCTCAGACTGTTTCATTAGCAGCTTCTTCAACGTCAGTGTTTCCAAACTTTAAATTAAAAAAAAAAAATGCTGTGTGAATACTCTGCAGTTGACAACATTAAAAAATACAAGTAATAGGTTTATTCCATGCTGAAAAAAGGGGAGAAAGAAAACACAATGTTTCGGCCGTGAAGCCTTCTTCAGGTGTGAGCAGCTACCCACCTGAACATTAAAAAATGCTTTATAATAAAAGATATTGTCTAATTTGCCATTGATTAAATCAGCACCCCTGTAGTACGAATTCAAAAATAAAAACATCCTGCTTCTCCTTGCAAGAGGGGAAATGAAGGCTTCAGACTTTCCGCCTTGTCTTTACCAATCATGGCCTCCTGATAATCCCCACCTATGAACTGGCTTCATCACTCTGTTCTCCTCCCCACTGATAGCTGGTGTGTGGTGAGCTTACTGGCGCACTATGTCTGCCGTCGCATTATCCAGGTGGGGCTGCACATTGGTGGTGGTAGTGGGATTCCCCATTACCTGTAAAGCGCATTGAGCGGAGTGTTTAACAAACGTTTAACCTTCACTGCGGAACTGAAACAACCTTTCAATAACCAGACCGGCCAGCCATCAGTGATGGTCAGCCTCTCCCAGTAAGCCCGTGCAGCTGGGAGCACATGTCCCTCACCTCCTCGCAGCAGCTCGGTGTGGAGGTAGGCCAGCCCTCTCGTCACGGAGTGTGCCAGGCGACAGGAGCTCACCCAGTCTCCAGACTGCAGGCTGAGATAGCGGCACAGGGAGCCCTGAAACACAGAAACGGGGGACACATCAGCATTCCCAAATCCCACCCAGGGCTGGGATCGCACTTTAATTTGAAGAACTAATCAAGATCACTTAACCGATTACCGCTTTCCCAGAAAGAACACTTCCAATGGAAAGGATTGAGAGACCAAATGTTGCCTGCCCCTATACCAGAGCCATGAATTTAATGAAGAACAGCTAGATGCTGGCACTGAACACAGCCTGTACGCCAGACAAAATCTTGGAATAGAAACCATTTTTCTGCTTTATGAATGGCTTCACTGCTCTGATAAACAGTGTAGCCATGATGTATGTTTCTAGGCTAGATGATCACTGTAAATAACGATGTGTTCTCAGCTGACCCAACTGGTTAAAAAAAGGATTTATATTTTTAATTATAAAGTTAATATTGCTTTTAAGATTAGAAAACACAGGCAAAAAATGAGCCAAATATATGATCTGGAAGAAAGGACTTTTAAGGTCTCAACATTAGACAAGAAAAAGGATTTAAAAAGAGAATATTTGTGGCACCAGATCAAACTTTAACTACAATGTATTAACTAATAACTAAAAATGTCCTGCATACTGCATTAAAACAGGAGGCTTCAATGTCATGCTGCAGTTTTGCTTTAATGCATAAAGAGCCTGAGGAATTCGGTTTTCTCTATATAGTCTGGCACTTCAAGAGAGACACCAGAGGCAGCTAGTAATTATATTTGCTGTGGATGCTGCATGATGTGAATTACAGGATTTTTGCTGTCATGCAAGACCTGTGCAGAGAGTTATTTTAGAGGGATGCCAGAAAAGAGAAGCACTGTTAACCAACAGTGCCTACTGCTCTTCCCTCCTGAGGAGTGAACAGTACTGTTCTTCAGACAAAGTCACCATTCGAGGATGTATCTTTTCCCGACATCTACCGGAATCCTTTACCGTGAAATACAAAAGTGATTTTTTTTAACATAAAGCAATATATTTACTTTGCAAGGAATGTTTCGCAGATGTGTCGACATAGGTGAAAGTGAAACTTTTTTTTAAAATACATGTCCCAATCGTGTGCTACCGTGAAAAAAAAATATGCTGGGCTACTGACAATTGTTGTATGTGTTCAGGACCTATGTCTTCTCTTCTGGCAGATTACCATATTCCTGCGAGACACATGCCACGATAATGAGGCACAGGTAGAAAACAGTCACCCTGCGTTCTTATTCTGCGAACAACGTGCCTGGTAACTTGCACAATCACACTCTACTGACACAGCCTCCTCATTTAGAGGTACCCAAGGCACTGAGACGCTTTTTGAGCACTGCGGAGCTGTGCCGCAGCCTGTGTGACACTCCAGACACTTTGCTGCATTCTCCTCTCCGCTCTGCTTTGTGTGTGGCCTGAACACCACCACCCTGCAGCGCGGAGCTGCTCTTTCTCCAAATGAATCCTCCGCAGGGTATTTGGAATTGTTCGTGCAGAAGGATTTTCTCAAGGTACAAGCCAAAAGGTACTGTACGAAGGTACGTTCGTTGTGTGCGGTGCATTTCAAAGTTTTAACCACCCATTTTATTTTTTACCTTAGACCAAAAGGTCTCAGATTTTCAGCTGGCTTTTGTCAAATAATACTGACTGGTATCACTGCGCTATAATATCAGCAATAATAAAGGAGAACAGCCTCCTTAACTACAGATTTTTCTAACAGATGCAACATTGTAATTTTTGAATAAAATTCAAAGCGTTATTTTAAGACTTTTTAACCCAGGTCTATGGAATAAACCAAAGTCTCAAATATATTGTACATAAGAATGTGTCATGTATCTCCAAATGCCCTTCTCCCAGAAAACCTTTCTATTCATGGGGACACGATTCAAATCCATCGCCTCAATTATTTTTTCTTAATGAAAATTATACCGAAAATGTTCGGCCAAAACGACGCGTTTTTTCGTTGTAGTTCAAAAAGATGAAATGCTCACAAAAAGAATCCACAATGACGAAGACTAAATTGCTTAGCACTTTTGTTTGAGGGCATTGAGACGAGGCAGAACGACCCATTCGACTTAAACTCATGCCGAACTGAATTTTCATCACATGAGGGTCACGGTTTGTGCTGGTTTACTTTATGTCTGACAAACAGAAGGCTGTCTGTAACCAGTACAATCCTAGTGCTGAGCCTGCGGACTGCGCATTGCCTACTACTGTGCGAGAATTGCAAATATCGGGGTGTGCCTTTCCAGTCAGTCTTTTCCACACCTCATGTCATGAATTCTTATTGTTCGTTAATTGACTGGTACCCCGATAAACCATGAGACGTATGCGCTAGACTAATTAAATTAAGCATTAACCCTTCATGGCCTGAATTTGCAATTGCACAAAGTAAGAGATATTCCTAAATTAAAAGCCACTGCTCACATCCAGCTCATGGGAAGATGAGCTCTGGCCTTTGTCCACTTGCAGTCATTGAAATGATTAGACTTTTTCTACTAATTGGACTTTCAGGTCTGTATAGGCCATATAGGGTTAAAACACTGAAAACACCTGGGCTAGGCCTTCTTAAATTTGGTGGGATCAAAAAAACGACACAGAAGACACCAGGGAAGGCATGTTCCTTGCCTACTGCAAAGAAAAAAAGGCCCTGGGCACTCACGTGGGGGTAGTACTCCATGACGAGGAGATACTCCATCCTGCCCTCCGTGGTCAGCCGCTCGTCGCCCACGATGAAGTGGGCGATGTTGTCGTGCTCCATGAGGGGCAGCCTGTAGATGTTCCTCTCGTTGACGAAGTTCTGCCGGTTGGTGTAGTTGAAGACCTTCACGGCCACTGGGCGCTCGTCCAGAGAGCCTTTGAAGACCGAGCCGTACCGACCGCGGCCTATCAGCTGGTGGAGCAAGGGGAAACAGGGTTAGCTCGAATCCATCCACTTCCTCGTGAGGGAAAACTCCGCTTCATGAAAGCACGTACACTGTAGCTAGTATAAATAACAGCGGAGTTCCTGTCGTGCATGTTCACAACTGCCCTACTGTGTTTTGTGTTAGTCCTCTCTGCCTTTTACGAAGACTTTATCTCTAGTTTCCAAGTGAAATTGATCCTGCATTTCATAAACAGTTGGTTGGAAGTGGTACACCTGCCTGTATGGTTCACAAGTGATAACATCCGCCAAGACTAATTTGTGCCTGGTTCTACTTGTGTTTTTAGAAACATAGTAGCAGGTTCAGTTGTGAAAATGGCCCTGCCAATATCTTTTGAGTTTTTATGGCAGAAAAAACAGGGGCCACTGAAGAAGGAGGATTAGCCTCCAAGAACAACTTCCACAAGAGGAACAGGTTCCAAATGCAACAATGACCTACACAGAGAAACAGCACCCCCTTCACGGAGAACTTTCCGAAAAGTTGAGTGCTGCTCACTTTTTTTACAGAAGCGATATCACGCTCCTGGTAATCAGAAAATCAAATAGAAACTTTTCAACTTCTTGCAGAAAACGCTAGAGTGAAAAACTCACAACCATGGTTCTGGGATCAGGTACACCACATTTTTTCAACATTTTAATTTTATTACAAAGATAAAAGATTCGTTCACAGTGACGATTATTACCAGCAGCAGCCAAAAAGAGATTGGAACTTAAACAAAGAACTAAACTCAAAGGTGAAGTGTGTCTTTTATAAGAGTGTGCCGAGACATTGTGGAAAAATTAGTTAGGCACCATCGTTCCCAATACCAGAGTCTGCTTCATTAGTAAGGAATTACTTGGGCAAGAAAACTGACCCAGAAACTGTGAAATCACTGATATGATTGTAAATACTTTTAATAACCTGTGTAGCATCATACAAATTTGGTCTTTTTGCAGATTTACTGTAGATTTCTTTCAAGAACCCATCATTACGGCACTAGTAAAATAATGTTTACGTCTTATATTTAATGAGGAATACAATTTAATACTATCACTGCTGACAAATGTTCAATTTAAGAGTTATGATTACTTTTATTTATAAAGCACCCTTCCTTACTCAAGGATGCTATACATAGTGATAAAGAAAAAAGTAAAATAAAACTAAAGAAGACAAGCATAGAAGTCTATACAGATAGAATGTAGGGCAATCAGACATACTGTAGGTCCCGGTAAAAAAAAGGGAGTTTTGAGTTTGGATTTCCTATTAGGTCCTCTTTAGTCAGAAATAAGAGTGCAGACTTTTAATCAGGAAGTTCCATAAAGTTCTGTGTGCTGAAGTTGCACTTTAGGGTATTTCTAAAATCAATGAGTGCAGAAAAAAAAGTCTCTATCTGCAAGCCGATCAGTTACAGGCACCATTTATCACTGGTGAGTACCAGCAGACACAGGTATATTCCAGGTCCAGAACTGAGAGCCACTGCATCAATTAATCAGAGGTATAAATCTGTTAGTCAATGATTTAAAAACTGCCACTGTCCCTCCCCAACATATCATGATGAAACATGTGTAACCACAACACTGCGTTTTTTCCCCCAAAAGAAAAAGATGTATATCTGCTGGCTGATTTGAAGTGAGATTATGAATCCGAAATGTTATTTCAGAGAAAATTAAAGATAATGACATACGTTTCATCTTGTTATACATGCAATACAGAAATAATTCAGCATATACATATGGTACACTAATATGTAACAGCATTTAACTTGTATACCTTCTACAAAAGAAATCAAGGTCACATGACCATCCTTCACACCTACACAGTTATGAAAATAAAATGGAGACACACTGTTTGCAACGATACATTCGGGAAGTCACAGTGTCGTCTTGTACTGTGACTCCAAGCCTGTAATAGTCAAGGGTGACGTACTTAAAAGTTTAAAAGTTCAATCTTTTTTCTTCTTGTGGGTCTCCATGTCACTAAGCCCCTCAAGAGTACACTTGGACCGATATTTCATTAGAGTTGGCCTGAATTTTCCAGGTTCTGGATTTTCCTCTGCAATATCAGCCTTAAAAACCAGTGGATAATAAGCACGGAGGAAATGCAGGAAGTGGATTTTGGTGGGGCAAATTATTAAGAATAAGCAAAACTTGGAAAATTGACAAAACACCCTCCAAATGTTTTTTATTCTGAAAGCAGAGGTCTGCACACATCCGCCTGCCACTAATGGCTCCCTGCAAGGGGCTTACAAAAAGACATGACTGAGCGTTGTTTCGTTATAAAGACAGAAAAAGGTATATTCCATTCATCCATTCTTAACTGCTTCCAATTCAGGAACTCTTCCAGTCTGCTGCAGGTCAGACACGAACACAGAGACACGAACGCTCACGACAGGGCCAATTTTCCCAGAATACAGTTAGCCACCAGCATGTTTTTGGACTGTGGGAGGAAACCCACACCTGTCAATTACTCTCTTCTTACATTGCTGATAGGGCTAACGTATCTATGGCATTTTCAAAAACCCAGGCCAATGACATGCCGTATATTTTCTGAACATCAGATAAAAAATGATGTTAATCGCCGGTGTTAACAAACACCAGAGGAGAGCCATCACGAGGCTTAGTGCGCTTACCTCCAGGAGTTTGAGGCTGTCCAGATCCAGGGAGGGCTCAGAGGCAGCCGCCTCCATCATGTCCATGTTGTGGAGGCCCTGTTTGCGGTCTCCTGGGGGGAGAGAGAGGCACCACAGGATCACTGTAGAGGTGCAGCCATGTGGCGTCGCGCAGAAGGCGCTGTCACAGGTTTAAGGCAAAACTACATGGAAGATCATGTCCTCTGAACGGTATTCATTGCAGGCACTGCGACAGTCAATAGTCACTGTACGTGCGAAAAGGCATTTAATACAAGAATTAAAGAGGTCAGTGTTTTATACAAATACCCCCCACTTCTTTGTAATACATTTTGTTTTGTTTTTTGTGTGAACCTGAGAACTTCTGCCATTGACATTATATTTTTCCAAATTTGTAACATTTTTCATTACATTTTTACAAACATACTTCAGATACCAAAGAGCTGATGAGTACGAAAGTATTAGCACTCCCCTTGACAGTTCTGTTTCATGCCAAGGGACTCAGAAAATGAACCTGGAGTCTGAGGCCCTTTTCGGCGCAGTACTGCTTTCTGCTTTTTGGATTTCTGGATTCATCCCTCAAAGTTCAAGGGAATTTCGGCGGATGAAAGATATTCTTCTCAGATGGGCAGCTTGAACTTTCTCAAAGCATGTACGCAGCAGCTACGCTGCCCAAGACAAAGTCTAGGCAACCAATTTCTTTGCTGGAGACAGTTGCTTTGGTGTCCTGTTCTACATCAGAAACTGAAATATTTAGCAGTACATCTGACCCCTTAATTCACCTTCTTTACCATCTTGATTTCAAGGACTCTTTCTTTTTTAAAATGAATGCGCTAGGTGAGACTTCATGGCTTTTTCCCCCATTACCTATCCACAGGATGCAATAGGGAGTTACACAAGGAACTGAAATGTTTTTATTTTGAAAGGAAGGTGTTTTTTGTTTTTTAAGGTACCGCAGGAGCTTTTAAAATGATTGGAATTCAGCAGGCGAGGCAAGCACACATTTAACCAGCAGGGTTTTTTCATCTGATTTGTTCCCCAGTTATCACTTGCAACTGCACCTTGGACAGACATAATGAGCCGATGAAGGTACGTAGTTCATGTCTATTTTAAGATCAGTAATGCATGGCTCTAATGGTATAGAGCCCCACGACTCCTGCCACATCCTAGCCGGAGTTAAAAATGTTGCCAAATAATAATAATAATAATAATAATAATAATAATAATAATAATAATAAAAAACTTTATTTTATATAGCGCCTTTAAAGGTGGCTTCTCAAAGCGCTTTACAGGATGACAATAACAATAAATAAGAAGACTAGAACAATAAATAAGAAGAATTCAAAAGATAAGACACAATTACAATTACAACAATAACAATAGAGGAGACTGTGGATGGTGGTGCTAAGAAGAGCAGAGGGGTGAAGAATGGAACCAGTTAAGTTAAGGCTTTTCTGAAGAAGAAGGTTTTGAGTCTGGATTTGAAGGAGTTTAGAGAAGGTGACTCTCTGATATCCTTGGGCAAAGAGTTCCAGAGCTTTGGGGCATAGCAGGAGAAGGCCCTGTCGCCCATACAATGTAGACGGGCTTGGGGGACAGTAAGGAGGGCAGAATTTGAAGAGCGGAGGTTGCGAGGTGGGGAGTAGGGCGATAATAGTTCAGACAGGTACTGAGATGCCAAGCCAAAGAGGCGGAACACTGAAAGGGCACAACCGCAGCATGGGAATGAGCTGGCAGGAGGCACCAGCTGCCCTGATGTTTCAGTAAAGGTGAATGAAGAACACCAGGGGTTACATCCCCTGTCCCCGACTCTGAGGGAATCCGGTTTATTACCATGGAGGGAGGAGGGCCACCCAAGGCTTACAGTTTCTGACTCTAGTAACATGATGGAAGCCAGTTGGCATTGACATCATATTTCTGAAGTTCAATGGCGAGGTAGCTGCAGTAATTACAGCCCCAGGGCCGTGCCACATTAAAATGAGCACCCGCAGGTTGCTTATTACTGACAAAACGGCAACCACAAATCACAAAAAGATACACACTGGTATGTGGGAGCCTTTCCTGAACCAGACTCTCAGAATACTGGCATGAATTCAAGCGAACAGGAACTGTGGTGAAACGCAACCATTACAGGGGAGTAACAAGTAATAGGTTTATTCCATGCTGAAAAAAAGAAGAAAGAAAACACAACACACCTGAAGAAGGCTCCACGGCCGAAACGTTGTGTTTTCTTTTCAGCATGGAATAAACCTATTACTTGTTCCTTTGCAGCCTACGCATGCTGACGCAGCTACCCACCTGAACCATTACAGGGGAGTGCTCATTTTCATACGACAGGGGGTCTGTAGCTCCTTCCCCAATTTAAAACGCAACTCTCCTGTACCAGACCCAGCAGCCAGGGTCTAAACATTGAACATCTTTTGAAAATTAAAGAAAAATGAAATAAGAGCTTTTGGTTCTTGTTTAATCTGATGTATTTAATAGAGTAATAATATTTCTGTGTAGGATTAAACCGAGCATGTGCAGGAGAAACCCAGCGTGTTTATCTGCTGCTGGTGCAAAGGAAATAAGATCGTATCCCAAGCATATGGTAAAGGATCTTCATTATTATGTCTGCCCATTTATGTGCAAATTTGGACACCTTTCTCTCAAAGCAAGTGGATCAGGTGTACCTCAACAGCTGTTACAGATTACAGAACTGCCGCCAAATTATAGCAGATGAATACTGAACCGCTTTATCATCTGGCAACTAATGTTGCTGCCACTAGCAGCGTCTTGCAAGCTAGTGCCTTAAGGATCTTACAATTCCCCATCTTCTTGAGGAAGAAAGTTGTTCCTACCTGTCAGCATCCTGTAGCCAAAGAACAGGGCCACAATGAGGACCGCCACTACAGAGACAGAAGCCAAAGCAATGACGATGGTCTCCTCTCGGTACAGGGGCCGGGGATCTGCAAGGAAGAACATGAAGAACGCTGAGAAAAAGATTCACTCCCACAGAAAAAAATCCAAAGACGTTGTGTGACATACTTCGCCACGTTGTGTAATTAAGGGGTTCTCTTGCAAAAGGAAAAGCTATTAAATCAAAATAATGAGGTTTCTCTTCAAGATCCATCACCGACTTCACGATGTAAGAGAGATTTTTGCCTCCCCCCACCAAAGAACTTCTGTGTATTATCAGTGTTCACGTTCTGCACTATCCAGGAATACGGACTCACTGAGAGTCACTCAGGCTCCCAGAGCTTCAGTGGAAATTGGGCATCTTCTCAGGTGAGCTGGCCAGAGTTTAGCCATTCTGCAGACAGAATTTCTGCTCTCCAGTACATGCGCTTTGTGCACTGCAAGGCCAACACAACTCCGAGTGAAACAAACGGCAGGAACCAGTAAAAAAGAGGATCACCTATATTGCTAAGGTCGTGTCGAGCACTCCTATTGACTGATATAGTGTTTCTAGCATGCAATCAAGATGTGCCATTTATAGTTTAAAAAAAATGTAATATTAAGTAGATCAGGAAGTTAAAAAAGATCGAGAAAGAATTTAAGACGTTCCAGACTGCAGGTGTCTGTCTTTTTCTTTAGGAGAGTTCATTCCCTTATATATCCCTGATCAGTTTATTCTCATCTTCATTATAAAAATAAAACTCTAAGCTGAATTTAGGCCTTACTCCTCTTTTATATGAATTTTCTGTCTTCAAAATCCTCTGCCGGTGACTCATTTAAATGACCACAGTGTCCCATCACATCAATTACCCTGAGGTACATTATGTCAGGCAGTACTGCATACATGCAGACAGGTTGAGATACATTACTAAGAACATGTCTTGCCTTAGGCTGCAAAGTCCTAATTCGATCTAGAGCTCTATGCTCTGGTCCGCCAAAGTTCAAATTCAAAGTAAAGAAGCAATTATGATCCAAATTAGGTTTTTCTTCAATTTCCTGCCCCTTCATGCAAACAAGAACAGGAACCAAAAAAAAAAAAACTGCTGCTTGTAAAACAAATTACATAATGTGAGGATACACTGCATGTCTCTTCATGCTGGAGCCCCCTCAGGTATCACTCCCTGCTGGTCCCACTAACCCCTCTTTCAGCAGCAACCCTAGCTTTCCCAGAAGGTCTCCCATCCAGGTACTGGCCAGGCTCAGACCTGCTGAGCTTCAGTAGGTTTTGAGCTGGGTGATATAGCTGCCGCTATAACAGCTACAGAAGGCAAAGAGACTGTACCAGAGAAGCAAAAAGAGCTCAGACCAGTTATTGGGAACAAAAATAAGAAAACAGTCTGCTACCACACTAATTTCATTAATACCATTTCACAGATATTATGCTTAGTCTGCGGAATTAAGGATGAGCGTTAAAATGAATTATTTAGAATTGTGTTTATTCAAGAAACACAAATACTCAGCTTTCCTTCAGTAAGTCAAGCACCTCATTTCCAGTGCTTATCATACTAGGAGCTGCAGTGCCACAAAGCACAACTTTGATCTGATACAGCAGCTTCATTTAAATACCACCTCTCTCTTTTACCTATGTAGGTCACTTCTTTTTGCTATTAAAGCAAAAAAGAAGACAGAAATTTCATCTAAACACGGAGAATCATACTGGCTGTACGTTTCATTTTTTTTGTCTCATGATATCCCACCCTCCACCCCCACACCCTCTAAGACATACTAGACTTTTAGAGAGGTCTAAGACATGGTTCGCTACTTTCTCTTAAACAACATGTTATGTTGCTTTTTTATGATTAAAATGAAAATTTAAAGTGACATCCATTTAATAAAATTTAATTCCAACCTGTCCAATTCTATTTAATTCATTACAAATACCAGCAGTACTCAAGAGAATTGTTACAGCAGTCATTTATATTTAAGAATTACAACTCTTTACGTGCCAAAGCACACACATATTTCAAGATTATGGCAAATCAGCCGCAAATTCTGTCCAAGAAAAGAGGTATTAAATAAATAAAAATGCTAAGCAATATTAGTAAGAGTCTTCCAATGGTTTGCCATTCACAGGAAAATTTATATTCTGGTCTCCTACTTTAAAATGCCTTGTTTGAAGTTTACTGTTAACCACTTTACATACGCTTTCTTTATCAAATAGCATTCTAAAATTAAGAAAATAAGAGGTTATATGTTTCAGAAGTCTGCATCTCAGAACCTACTAACAAAAAACTCAGGAAGGAAACACAAATCACAGAATCTGTCTGATAAATTTGTATGTTGTGTTAGCCGTCATATGGGTTTTGCACTCAAATTATTGAGCTGATCTACGCGGGACCTACTTCCTTAGATCAAACTAAAAGTCATTATGAAATTTAGAATGAAGCGGTTCTTCCCATACGAGCACGTATTTTAAAACGTGCAGTGATTTTGTGCCAAGTAATCTGCGTTGTTTCAGTTTACCAGTTTGGAATTTTGTCTCGATTATACGGGAAGGTGGACTGAGGTCAGAAAACATCTTTATGTTACTGTAAACTGTTACAGAATGTCACAAATATAGAGCAGATGACTACACTCTGCGATACAATGTTAGAGTGCTTAGCATTTAGGATTACTAGTCATAGTCCTGGGGATCGGGGTCCACATCTGGTCCTGGAGTGCTATCTGTGTGGAGTCTGTATGTTCTCCCTGTGTTTATGTGGGTTTCCTCCCACAGTCCAAAGAGGTACTTGGAGGTGAACTGGTTTCTGGGAAAACTGGCCCTGGTGTGAGTGTGTGCCTGTCTGTGTTTGTGCATGCCTGCCCTGCGATGGACAGGTGGCCTGTCCAGGGCGTACCCTGCCTTGTGCCCATTGCTAGCTGGAATAGGCTCCCGTGACCCTGTATTGGATTAAATATTTAGAAAATGGATGGACAGACAGACTGACGGGGAGATCTTCCTGAGGTACAGTCTTGCCCTGCGGATTACAACGTCTGCTTACAGTGAGGAAGAACCTTCACAACTCGACTCAGGAAGCAATTCAAAGGACAGGGAGAAACCGGCCACGGGCAAAGAACGAAACTCCCCACCGCTAGAAACACAAGTTGCCAACTTCACAACAGTACCAAGCCGGGCCAGTGATTAACGATGGAAAAAGTTCCATCGTGAAAGTACTACTGGGTCAGAAACTGCACTTGTTCTCTTTCATTTCTAAAAACGCTCCGGAAACTACAAGGCCAGAAGTGTAAACTCATACCCACAGCCGAAAAAAAAACTGTTAGGAAGCTGCCGTAGGCAACACAGACAGGGAATAACCGGCCAGAGAGGAGAACCTGTACTTTCCCATCCTGTATCCAAAGCCAGACACATTAAAGCACTATTTACAGACTTGTCTCCCTGCAGGGAGGAAATCGGCTCGGGCCGGGTGGAGTCGACTGACAAAACGCAGGCTTTGAAGATGAGGCTTAGATTCCGACAGGCATGTAGGCAGACAGTCGAGACAGCCAGACCACCTATTAGAATTTACAGTGCTGGCTCGCAGCCAGCTTTCCTTTCTGCGTCTGAAAGAGGAAACCCTCCAAGGGCTTTGGGGATCTGGGACGCAGCCCAGGTTGGCTCCTCGGCACCGCCAAACACCTCTTTTGCAGTTGCTGCTGGTGCTGTTATCTCTTTTACAGTCAGGCCAGGAATGCGTCTACTGTAGGGAGGGGACGGGGGTTGAACTGGAGAGATGGGGGGTGGGGGAGTGGATGGGGGTATAATGGTTTAAAAAAACCTGACGCAGACAGAAGTGGCAAGTATTTTAATGACAAGCCAGTGCTGCTTTAACATTGCCAAAGGGAAACGGCTGCCAGTGAGCTCTGTCGAACAAGGGCAAAGAAGACGATCTGATGTTTTGATGGAATTTCCGGATTTCAGTTCAAATCGACCAAATCCCTTCCCTCCGCCCTTCAGAGAGGAACGCGATTCAGCGCGGCAGCCTTTCCTACCGCCTGCAGGAGAAGCACAAAGTTTCCCAACTGCGGTTGTGCTGTAGTCTACAAACAGCGCAGATAGAGGCGTTTTTAATACGCCTTTTAAGGAAAGTATCTGTGATGCCAAAGGCTAATTCAACGCTGAAAAGTAGAAAGAAAAAAAGCAACGTTTTCGGCCGCCGGGCCTTCTTCAAGTGTCGACACACACCACCAACCCGAAGAAGGCCGAAGAGCTGCATTTCTTCTTTCTGGGGAATTAAACCTCACTTGGGCCTTTACAGTCAACACACACAAACACCTGAACCTCTTTAAAAAAATGACTTACCTTTTATCAGAGTATATTATACTTAAAAATCATGTATAATACACGTTTGGGTAAGGCGAGTATTAAAGCACAACATGAAGATGGGAATGCACAATGGGATCCGTAAGAGTGACTATAAAAACAAAGCAAAGGTTTAAAATCTGGCACAAATCCTAATGAACAAACTAGAATGTTTAGCCCATAAATGTTTGCTTTTAAAAAGGGTGTGGATGTGATTCCAGGTGGAAAACACAGAAGCACTGAAGCTGAGGGGGGTACTGAAAGCTTTTTACTTGCTTCTGACTGGTCAGTTTCTGTCCGGTACTACAGTGAAAAGACGAGAACCACTTCGACTTCGCACCTCGCATTGAGCTCATGTCATTGGCGTCTAGGCTAGATGTACTGTACCTTTACTGCGCGAGTAACCGCAATATCATTACTGTGACAACAGCTGTGTCCACCAGCTTCAACAACCGGAATATAAATGACAGAACAAACAAAAAAATACTGCTGAATGATCTACTGTATGTCCACAGTAGCCAGCTGGCGAGTCCTGAGTTCAAATACAGTTGGGAAGCAATTTAGCTGCTGATAACGCTGATGTGCTATTAAACAAAACTGTGCAGCCTATCCGCGGCTTTTTTGGGATCTATTGATGAAATCCTGATGGGGGGTCTGGGATTGATGTAGTAGCTGAAGAGAAATGTGGTGGACTTAACAGCCGGCTTGAGGTGCCTGGAGGGGACAGTGAGA